CTCCGAAATACATGGAAACACTTCCTTTTCGAGTGAGCCTCCTCAAGCACAACGACTGGCCCTCCTCCTCTCTGCTCCGTCCGTTCTGCATTTCTGACCCATTTAGGTGTACACTCGCGTCCTTCAAGGACACATCGGCCTTGCAACAGCCCAGTTTCCTGATGGAACGCCGGGATTTATGATAGACGCATTTGCGCGGCGTCATCTATGGGACGCTGGGTTGGACTACCAGCACGGTACGGGGCACGGCGTGGGGGCCGCGTTGAACGTCCACGAGGGTCCACACGTGAGTTCCTTCTCCTCCTCGTTACCGATGTCCTTACGTGGATACTTTGTTGTGGCATGGTACTGCCCAGTCCGACATTCACCGCACGTGCCAGCAATCAACTCCGTTTCTGTTTATGCGGCCGGCGGAAATTGCTTATTTTCTAGCCCCCGATGCCTTTAACCTACCTTGTATATATGGTAAGCAATCAGGACCAACTGAGGAAGTCTCTTGATTCTTTTTTCAGCCATCCATTTCCTAGCACATCCCTCTTCTTGTTTCGCCCAGTCTATCAGTTCACGGACGGCCAACACAACCCCTCTTGAGCCCGGAATGATCGTGAGCAACGAACCTGGATACTACAAGCCGGGAAGCTTCGGGGTCCGTATCGAAAACTTGCTCGAGATCGTGGATTCTGGGATCTCCAATGAGACTCTTGGGCGAAGGTACATCCCCGAAACTGGTCACGCTTTGTGGCATGATCTACGTGCTCATGGTCAAACTGCTTCTGGATATAGATCGATGAGAGGATAATGGAGCCTTGCCAATGCGGGAGGAATTTTCCTTGCTTCGGCCACGCTTGTTCTTGTTGCATGCTGCGGTTCGCCGACGGTGTGTTAGTTGCGCGATCCTCATGATCTTCTCTCGGCACCGCGCGTTCAGTTGCTCATGCTTCTCGGCCTCTCGTTCGCCCCTTCTTGGCAGATTTTTTTCGTTCGCGCCTCTCACCTTCATTCCGATGCAAAAGAAACTCCTCGACCAAACACTTCTTACGTCCAAGGAGCTGGACTGGCTGGATGAGTACCACGAAATGGTGAGTTTTGGTGCACTTCAGGAACTGAGCAGCTTGAACTAAATCATATTCGAAGTGAAGGTCGAGCAGCGGCTCACACTTTGTTCCACAAGGAAGAGGCGCGAAGTGTTGGTGGGATGCTGCCTATGCTTATTCCGGCTCTTCTCTCGTCGCCGTCCTTGCTGTAGCCTTTCTCTCTATCGGCTACAACGGTTTCGTAAGTAGCGTTTGAACTGTTCTGCATCGTCTCCACATATGCCTGCCGTGTTTCGTTCCACCTCCAGGTTTGGACAAAACTGCACAAGCTGGTGGAGGACGAAGAGGCTCTCGCTTGGTTAAAGGAAGCCACAGCCCCAGTTGTACGGCAACCATAGAAGAGGCGCCACCCGATTGGTCGTGAGAACGCCTGTCTTTCCTGTCGAGACATTTGGAGGACGTAGCGTTTTGGCGAGTGGCAGTAGGCATTCAGTCGGAGCCAGATTCTCCACCCTTCTCTGCCCTATCGCTGGTGCTGCTGCTGTCGTGGATCCCGGCCACCTCCGCGTCCGTGGTATTTCCGCGCCTTTACTCCATGGTCTTCAACGATGCACCTGGGATGTGGTCGTGGAATTGTTTCCTCCCTTGGGGTTTTCCGTTGTCGTCAGTGGTGAATACATCTGAAGTAGGTCGGTGTAGAGGTCCTTGTGGATCAATGCGGATTGGAGTATTGACGTTTCTTGGGTGAACAATCCAACCTTGTAAGTAGTTATGTTTAGATTTCTCCTTGTTTTTACCGAGTACCCAAGCCCGCGCGTTGGACCGCTGATTCCTGTTGGTAAAAAGATTGCGGCTTGTTTACGACTTCGCTGAGCGAAAGGTCAGCCAGACGTATGCTGAAGCCACAGATGTGACTGCCAGCTGCGACCTTGTTCGTTGCTGATCTCTCACGGCATGTTGCCTTCCATTAACCACCCCGGTGAACAGAACTCGGCAGTTGCACATGACTCCATAAAGTTTGCTGCACATGGCTGTGCGGCGGAGGCGTACGCAAGAATAGTGTCAGAAGTGATTTATCGAACTGGAACGACCTTTTGCACGTGCAGACTGTAGGTGGGATGGATCACCGTACGTGGTGGTCGGGTTACCGCCCACAGTCTACCATGCACTAGCCTGGTGGCCGATATCCGGGGCAAACTTTGCCAAAAAAATTAATCGTTGCGGAGGACAGTTCTCCCCATGTTTGCCTAACATGGAACACGGGAACCCCACATTCACATTTTGCCGGCGAACCTAGATTACACTAGCCACGGACAGATGGGGAGTGCGAACCTCTCTGGAGCAACAAAATTCTTGATGACTAGATACGAAGATTGCAACGAACTCGTGAGTACCGTCGAACGGGGGCTCAGTAGCTCGAAGGCCGGTGGAACAGATAGGCCATTTCTGCTCCACCAGGTCAAACTCGATATACAGGGCGTCGTTTTCCCTACTCAGTCTCGCACTGTGTTGGCACGGCCCAAAGGTATCATACAAGCCATCGGACACCCCAATCGGACCAGTGGGTGTAGAGAAACGCCCACCCAGGGGGGCTCCGTGGCTCAATGACCGGTGGATTGCCGGGTATTTTTTGCCTCTGCCCTGTGATTGTGCAACTGCTTCCACTTGTTTGCATACAGGTGCTGTTACGACCTCTGGTTGGTTGAGTACTAGTCACTGATAGACCGTGTTATCTTTCTTTATCCCAGCCTCACTGACCAACAGGCTTACGGTTATTCGTCGCTCCGCCAGCTATTCATAGTTTTTGGCTGCGGCACCGCGACGACCAAAATCGAGTTCGGGGGCAAGGTGGACCCTCCCCCAGATGAAGATGAGTTCACAGTGTGTTTTTGTCTGGCTTGAGCGGAAGACAGTTGTACCCAACACCTACAAGTCGTCAAGTTCGATGAGCCTCTTTTCAACAACGAGTTTTCAGGGTTCGGCATGCAAGGAATTGTAGACTCAGATGGGATCCAAGTAAACTAGCTTATCTATATTATCGCAGGTGGAAAAATTGTCAACTTATTCCAAGCGATATACCAGTGAACAAGTCGAAGCATATTTGTTTATTTTAGGTGTTCCTCTGTCTCACTATGGGCGTAATCACATGCTATTACGGTGGAACACAAAAATCAAGACCAAATTGGGCACTTCCCGTTGTCTCTCAAGAAAAAGATTCTGTCAAAATGTTCTCTCCCGCGAATTTGGTAGAAAAACACACACTCTTTTGCAACTTTTGCACGCAATAATTGAGCAACACACACACTGGGTGGGTTTAACAGAAAGCCTGTTACATCAGCTGTCGAATGGCGCTGGTTCTATGCCCGTCGAACAGTCACAGCACGAAGTGAACGGCGCCAAAAGGAGGCATTTCATGGCAGCAATTTTCAAGCGGGCAAACTTGTTGCGGTTCGGGAAAACAAAATTAGGTTCTAAAATAGAACCTGACGCAAACTGCTCAACATGTCAACATGGCGCGTACAACGCCAATTTCTTTTTTGAATTTGAGCCGGCCGTTGCAGAGCAACTCGCCGTCCACGCCAGGCACCTGGCCAATCCAGCACCCACCATGACCAAGCGTGGTAGACGGGTACTGACAGGCGGCACCAGTGGCCGTCCACCTAAGGCGATCAAGGGGGCCAACGCTGCGGCCGCGAGAAATGCAAAGGCTATGAACAAGCTCCTGGATGATAAGGAGAAGAGAGAGGCGGTCACCGCCGCTGCCGAAGCAGCTCTCGTGGCCAAGGAAGAAGACGTGAAGGCCATGAAGGCGTCAGTGGCCAGGGATCGGGAGAAGCTCGCGCGGGACATCGCGAGGTCAGCCGTGCTTCAACAACAGTGTGAACGGCGAGAGCAGGATCGTGTCAACAAGGCTGCTGAAGCTGCGACTTATAAGCTTCCCCCTCTCGCGCTGAAGTTTGTCGAGGACTCTGTGCAATCACTGAGGCCCAAGACTGACGAGCTCACCACCCTGCAGCAGTCGCGGATTATTCTCATGCTGTACTTCGACCTGGTGAAAGGAGGCAGCTCTGAGAACCACGCAAAGGAGCAGGTGAGAGCCAAGAAACATGGCTGTTGCGTACAAATACCAGTATAAAGACGCATGTCGTTGTTACGTTTTTACAGCACCGTGCCATGTACGTTTTTGGTACAATTGTATAGTCTATATGCATATACATACATCCCACCCAAGATTTTTGTACAAGCAACAACAGTGCTTGACATCATGCCAGTACCGCTGCCGGCCCATATCGTCGCATTGCTTGCACTGCTGTACTAATGCCCATTACTGCTGTACAATACTTGAGTGTTATGTATAACGGAATGCTGCCAGCTGTACAGCAGTGTATCAGTACAGCAGTTACAGCAGCGCTTTGTACCGCTGAATGTAAAAGAATGTATGTGCATGGCACAACCATTCTCCTCGCGTGCGCTGTACGTTGTCTACACTCCGCCGTCCCTTTAACACCGGCTTTCGTACACCAACGCAATACACTACAACGCAATACACTGCTGTATTCTTACAAACTTTTTCCCACCCTCCCTCTGTGTGGATGACCCATCTTTATCAGGTCGCGAAGACCTTGAGGATCGGTACGGACAAGGTCCTGGCGGTTCGCACACTCTGGTATGACAAGCAGGAGTTGTACGAGACCAACGGGAAGGGGCGAGGCAAGGCCACCAGCTTCGACGACGGGCGACGTGTCATCACCAAGGAGCAAGAGGATGGACTGCGCGAGTTCACCAAGGGCGAGCACGAGGCGAGACGTCAGGTCTTCCGCCGTACCGTCAAGGTTTACTTGGAGTGTTCGTGCGGATTAGAGATGTCGAATCGTGCCGTTTGAGGGTTGCTGCAGCGCCTTGGCTTCAAGCGCCGTAGTGGTAGGATCAAAATATCCCCGTTGAATGAGGAGAGGGAAAACCGCATCCGCCTCTTCCTTGTTAAGATGGACCTCGCGAAGAGGGCCGAGGACGCTGGGGTCGCAGTCATTGTGTACATGGATGAGAGCTTTGTTCACCAGGCGCATGGTTCCGCGTACTCGTACTTTCCTTCTGACGATACGGGGGTTGTGCAGGATGGGATAGGCCGTACAACGGGGAAAGGTTTGCGTATGATCATGGTGCATGCGATCACGAAGCACGGGCCCTTGGCCGAGCTACAGGAGGGATTTCCTATCCGTGAGGGTTGGTTCAAGGCTAAGGAAAATCGTGCGAAGAAGATTAAGCCTGGCGAGGCGGATTTCGAAATGTCAGATGAGCAGACAGCAGAATTTCTGTGGCAGGCCAAGTTGGCAACCGGAGATTATCATAACGCCATGACGGATGGGATGTTCATGCAGTGGTTGAAGCACCGACTTACCCCGGCCTTCGATGCGCAGTTCAAGAACAAGAAGATGTTTCTCGTTCTCGATAACGCCTCATACCACCACTGCTTTGACGAGGAGGTTAAGGTGCCCGAAACCAACAGTAGAAGTACAACGTCGAACTCTTGCGCAAGTACGGTTGCACGTCGTTCAAGGTGACGCGTGAGTCGGAGGGTAAGGCTGCTGAGTACAACTTTGAGGTCCCGGCGCAGGGGTCGCTACCCAATGCGAACCGCAAGAACGGCGTCAGCAAAGAAGAGATAGCCTCCGTCACTCGGACGTACTTCAAAAAGAATTTTCCACAAAAGCTCGAGGGAAAAGCTGAGACGTACACGAGGGAGAACGGGTGGGGGTTAATTTGGACACCGCCGTACATGCCGACTTTCCAGCCGATCGAGCTGTTCTGGCAGCACGGCAAGCATTACGTGAGCTTTCATTTTGAGAAGGGGCGGAACGTGTTGGATGTCTGGAAGCAAATCCGTCTCGGTTGGTATGGAGACCCGGAATGGGACAGTCAGGAGGGGGGGTGGAAGGCAGCCAACTGTGGAAAGTTGGTGCAGCATGCCATTGGCAAGATGGACGAGTGGATCGGCCTGTACGGTGGAAACCTGAGCGGTACGATCGGTAGCCTTGAGTATCCAGTGGCAGAGTACCAAGAGGCTACGGCCGAGGATGAGATAGAGGATGGAGTGGAGGAACAGACGGATGAGTGGCTGGGTGAGGACGCGGAAGATGCCATTGAGGGCTGAAAAAAAATGCCACAAAAAAAATGCCAAAAACAAATGCCCGTTTTTGGGCCAATATTTTTCGACTTTGATTCCCGAACAGCGACACGAAGGGGCTACACAGAAGGCGCCATTCTGAGTGCAAGCTGACATATTGTTTGATATTTCGCAATTGAGATGGCTGTATCATCCTGTTCAATCAATATATGGATCACTTGTGCAAGCCCTGGGGCCGCATCGTTGGAACACAGCGCTTCAATATTTTTGGAACTTCGCCGGGTACGATCACACGCTAATTTCGTAATATTTCTATAAGACATGGTGAGTTTTTGTTTTTATTTTTTTCAGAAAGAGAGCTCTGTGCTTTGTCGTCAATTTGCGCTATAGTTTGTGATAGGGGACTCCGTATTGACGAAGTTACACAATATTCCAATTTGGTCTTGACTACCATGTTCCACCGTAATATAGGGTACCGAAGGCCCCCCCCTCCCCCGGTGGGCGGGGGGACCCGAATAGCAAGCAAGAGTAGTCGAGGACGACAGTGAAAAGTGGTGACATCGTTGGAAAGCAACATGTATCTACATTCCGTGCGCGGGAGAGAGTTGGAAGGCGAGGCACAGCGTATTTCGTGATGTCCGCGTGAGTACATGTGAAGGTGATGAACGTCGGGGCCCAAGAAGGGACTATTCTCGTGGAAATGCTATTAATTAACGATCCACTGATGATGTGTAGATTAGTGTTGTCGATATCGTTTTTTCAATAGGCTGCAGGATCCGAAAAAAACATGAAGAAGGAAACTAGAAGAGTAAATGTACCAATTACTAATAGACACGCCACCCTCCGCTCAAACAGCTCGTTCTTGACTATTAGGACGAATATCATTGATGTCGAGGTATCGTACGATAGCTAACATCACAGGCTACCTCCCCCCCGTGCTGGGAAGATATGGCTCCTGTATTACCCCTCATTTTTCCGGGATAATACGGTGGAAAACACCCCCGCCCCCGTTCAGGACGCGTTTTTTCGGGAAAAACCATGTGCGTGTCGACTGCTGTAGTTACAACCTTTTTTCTCCACACTCAAGATACCCCAAGGCATCTAACCTCGTACGAGAAAGATGGTGGGTAGAGCTACCTCCCGTCGCGTGGCATTGCAATGCTATTGCTTCCTCCTTCGAAGATTTATCGCTGAAACACTTAACTGTGAGCAGACATTCGGCGCGAACTTGAACTAACCGCTCTCTGACGTGGATATTTTAGGGTCAACCGAAGCTTTTTTACCTATACGCACGATACCCCAAGGTGGCAGACCTTGGGCTTGAAAGATGGAGTGGAAAGGTCCCTCCCGCCGCGTGGCGTTGCTGTTGCTGTTGCTTGCTCCTTCGGAAAGTTATCGGTGGATAACCAAACCCGTGGCGGCCCAAAACACCGAACTTCAAGTGACCGCTCGCAACCGTTGGCATTTTGCTTCAACACAACCTTTTTTTCCGGCGCATTCGGCACTTCACGGCGCCAAACCTTGGCACTGCCCAACAGCCCATGTTACCAGCTCCTTCCGAATACCGTTCTTGAGGCAACTCGTTAAGTATTTGGCGAGATGTCGGCGAACACGTGAACAGAAGAGCGCAAAACCCACCCTGGAAAAATCACCGCTTCGCTGCCGGCTCTTCCTCTGGCGCCAGGTCATTATTTTTCTTTTTGATTTTTTGCCTCACCCGTCCCCTATCCTCGTTAACATACACGACCCTCATTTTTCAGTTGCCACGATAACGCATTTTAGATATGATTTTGTGCCCATTTGGATTGTGATTTTCGGCACTTCGTTAATACACAGCCTACACGGTGCACGCTGTGACGCTTATTCGGACAGGAAAGAATAGCCAAGGTACAAAGTCAGTCGACTTTGCGCCAGTATCTGAAATTGCCTTTGTTTGGGCATATTCTTGCCGGCGTTAATACCCCACAGCACGCGCTCCGATGGAATACACTCTGTCGTTGAGGCTGTTCTTCCCTTAGTTGTTGATTTTGTTGTTGTCGTCGTAGTTAATGTTGATGTTTATTAGTTGCAGCTGCTTCTGCTGCTGCAGGCGCTTCTCTCCTGTTAAGACTCGGGTCGTCTTTTCTTGCCAAATCAAAATCGAGCGGTCATGCAGCATCGACAGCTGAACCACCAGGCGGATTACATATATAAAAAGTATAATACGGGCCCGGATATAAGAAAATACAAATTCGGCTCGAGTCTCAAATCCTCGTTTCCGGTCGAAGGACCAGCCGAAGTCGTCCATTATGTTCAAAGGCATTTTCTTGTTCGTTTTGACTGCTGTGGCACATCCTCCTGATTCTCTTGCATCATTATTTTGGTCTGTCTAATAATACAACACTACAAGCATTCGTGCAGCATTAACCTGAAAGCTCGGTGTGGCGAACAAGAACAGCAGCGGTGGGAAATGCAGCCCGCGGAGGCGAGGAGTGCCTAGCGCGTAGGTGGGGGGTGTCAGTGACAATAAACACTGCTGTATGGTCGTACATACAAGTCTTCTCCCTGGTTGTCTTTTGCCGTGGGGTGATCGACCCGTAGCTTCGATGACGCCCTGCTATGTCCGATATCCGGTAGGGACGATTATATGCCTTCATGGTCTACTCCGTGCATAATTTTGTCACCCGATTCATCGGCAGTTGATGGCACGAAACAAAATGCTTGAGTGATGCGTCCGTCGTTATTGTTGAGTGGTTTTTCCGTCTTTCTGCTAACCATACGCTCGTAACGCGCGTCACTTCATTGTTTCGTTCTCAGGACAGCAGGGCAAAAACCGCCAAGGCTATTGCAGAGGAAGAGTGGCCCAACTTCACATGGCTCGACAAACACCTTGCCTCAAGGCTACCGCTCTTCCTGTTCCTGAAGTACCATGAACGCGACAGGGACACCAGGAGAGGCCCTTCGAAAGATTTGATGGGCTGGGTACGACAGTGGCTGGAAGATTCTCCGAAGTACACGGGTTTGGTGACTGTATCGACACCACGTCAATCCAGATTGGCCATTTGCTGGCTGCTCTATTGCAGGTATATTTCGCATATGGTGATGTTTTTTGTATCCGTCGAACTACGCGTGCACAGGAGGCACAAGGCGACACGTGTGTGGCGCGATATCCTAGGGTTACTTACGTCGCCGGTTGGGAGGCGCCGTCCATTTATGCGCCGATGCTGCAGGAAGCGGAGAGACCGACAAGTCGTACCACAACGTATTTTAGGGTGATTGAGATGGATTGACACACGGAAATGACATGGTGGGGTCTTACTGCGAATCGAGTGTTAGGCGCATGAAAAATATCTCCCGATGACTGCTGTGATATATGAGAGTCTTTCCAAGTAATGCTGTTCCTACCAACTTAGCTCCCGGACCCACCCCTTCCTGTGCCAACTAAGACATGTCCCAGAGATTTTGGGCTGGGCCCCACCACCATCCGCGGGAAGAAAACCATGTACGCCCTGGAAGGGACATTCGAGTACCGGGCTTGGTCGGATGCACTCTTCGCGGGTCTTCCTACGCCGTGGACTCCTCGTCGTGGCGCCAAGGGGGGCTGGATCTTTTCCTCGACCGAACATGGTGCCGCCGTCGAGGTGGGTATATACAGGGCGGTAGGTCAAGGCTTACGGCCCGCAGGGGCTATTACTGTTATGGACTGTTCTAGAGCATCGCCGTAGGGGGATCGGGGTATTGGTGGTATGTTGTTTTGTTTTTGAATTTCACGTGGTCATATCTTGACGTGATCATGACTTGTGTATGTTGGTCGTAGGTCATACGCACCCCCTGTCGGGATGCGGGTGATGAGCACGATATGCTTAATCCGGATTCGTCGTAGGCGTGGCCTGAGTGCCAAGTGCCATAATCCCCTAAATATTTTCGCATTCGCATCGATGTTCATATGTCCTGTCTTGCTCGTTTGATTTCGGATGTTAGGCCCTTATGTTTCGGCAGTTTCGCTCAGAGACTGCCATAAGTAGGAGTATCCGACCACAGCAGAATACTAGACACGTAACGTGGTATCCTTCAGTCAGGGGAGCATGAGGCAGGCGGCGACTGATCTGTCCTATTCCCGTTTCCAACCTCCAGCAGGTGGCCATTTTCGAAAACGATTGTACTGGACGCGGTGTGGTTTCCAGCATCACTATCAACGGCTACAGCATTAAGGGTCACCCGGCGTTCGTGTCTGTAGTGGGGGGACCTCTTTAAGGTAATAGTATTTCCTGCGTCTCCTCTTCGGCGTTAATCGCAGCTGTTCTGCGTCTGTATCTTACGCGTTAATTGCGACCATCGAAGGGCGACGTCAATATAGCGGCTATCATTCATCTCTTTATTTTTTTTCTCCTCTTCGTTTCTGTCGTTTGTAGCTGCTACGTGTGGCGGACGGCTTTGTTCCTTGCCAGGGTGTCTGCCGGCTGCATCTAGTGCAAGACCTCGACTTAGACGTCGGCCGTGCGGAAGGTTTCGGGAGCATAGTCCGACTAGCACATCGGAATCTCGAACGCGACCCTACTGTGTCTTTCGGGGACGAGGGTCGGTGGCACGGTGTAACTATCAAAGGCTACCTATCAATGGCTACCTACGCGGGCACAGGGGTGTCTCGGGGATATTGGGGACGGTTGGGGAGACAGACGTCTTGTGGTCGAGCGATGCGTTGGGGTGGCTAGCCCAGTGCAAGGTCGAGGTTCTGTAAGGCGTTGCGCGGGGTGTTAGGAATTCTACCGAAAGGGAGTCCAACGGCGGACAAAGAGCGCAGCGAGGCTTGATGTGCCACAGACCACCTAAAACAGCTTCTTGAGCAGCGCTCAGAAGGTACGATGTGTATTCTTACCCGTGTGTTTTCGTCTTGCCTGCTGGACTTTGATTATTTCATTACTTTTTGAGACCGGTGTCACCCTTGGACGGTACTTCATCTCTTGTGCCGTCCCCCAGATACGCGCCCAAGTAGTACGGTTGGTGGAGGACGTGATAGTATCCATTCTCCAGCATCAGCACGAAGTTGTAGAACTCAAGACTGACGAATAGGAGCCCTGCCCCATTTTTCAGATCGTTCCGCTTCTCGACGCCAGCGACCACGTTACTCAGGTGGGCGTCTGTTTCTATCGCTGCGGCACTCGATTTGGAATGATGTCTTCGAATAAACTAACCCCACTCCATATCCTCGATGCCGGCTCTATCCATGTGCTTCCACGCCCTGCAAAGTAAGTACCCGGCGATGTAGTATAGCACCTCGGAGCGCTTTTTCGTAAGCAGGTGCATCTTGCGTGGGTACGCAAGGGCGATCTTGTTCGCGGCCTTCCTCTCGGCAACAAACGCCTTGTATAGACGCTGGTTTTCACGGAAAAAGAGACAGAAAATGGGGCGAGGAGACGACAAACAAGGGGTGAGACCCGTGACGTTCAACGTAAGGACTGCCGAATGGGAAATTTGGAGATACAATTCGGCGCCAAGCGCGGGGACATGAAGTCATATCCGCGAGCCGCGTTTTAATGCGCATGCACTCTCGTTGCTGGGAGGATTGGCACGAGGCGTGAAGGCAAAATTGCACGAATACGAAAACGACTCACCGACAGAATCGTCTGTATGACAACACGATCATCATTTAAGTTTATGCGGGTTATGTCTACGGGGGGCACGCATACCCCGTGCAACGTTCACCTCGAAAGGACAACCCTGGATATGCGTCACCCGAATACACCATCTTCACCCGCCAAACCAACTAACCAAAAGCCAGTACATCGGCCTATGCCCGCCTAAACATGCTACATACACTACATGGATACCCCGGGAAAGAACCCAGTCTCCCACCTCATCGATTGTGTTGCAAATGCAACTCAATGTTCTCCGGGCTGCATCCCCCTTCTCCGTCTGCGCCACTTCTTGAATAGCGTCATGCTCGACCCAAGCACGCAGGTGCTTTTCCCATGTGCCGAAGCGTTTCAAGGTAAACGCCGTCGCTGTCCTTCGTCGAAGGCTTGCTATTTTTCTCGGTTTCCAGGAGCTTCAGAAGAGAGCCCCACGAGCAGACAATCAGCTCACGTGTAGGTTGCAGTGCCTTAACCTTTTCCCACGGTGGCAGTACCCAATCGCACGTCTGATCGAGGTGGTTCGTCACACTCGCCAGCACCTGCTCCTTGATGTCATCCGCCGACCTTTCGAGCTCCCCCAAATGATCCTGCAGTACTGCCGATGCCACGGCCGAAAACGCAGACTACCAGTAATTAAGGACAGACACACGGAACGGATCAAAGGGTCAGAAACGAAAAAAAAAACACAGAGGACTCTACTACACCACATCACCGTTTAACGCCTTCAGACGGCGAAGAGCATGTGGTAACCCTAACCCTAAGGTGCACTCCAACCCGTGGCCACACCGAAAGCTGGTTGTCCCCGATAATACCCACCCTCCTGCTGTGTATTATCTATAATTTGCAACGCGCCTAGAGGGCAGCATCCCCTTCCGTCAGGTTACACTTGGACTAGCGCTTTACGTCAACCCCAGGAACGGAAGCGAAACAACCTAATGAACTCAACAGTGCGCAAAACCGACGGAAACAACCCCAAAAATTGTCTTGGCCCAGGAAAGGGGAGTTTTACCTTCGGCGGGACAGCAGTCGAATGCTTCATCATCGACATGGCTGTCCTCGTCGCTGGCGGTGCTGTCCGTAGGTGTGCCAGCACGCACATCCTCCCCCGGTACCTGTCCTGCGCCCACCCAACCCACGATTGGAAGAGAGACATGTCCGGCACCCGGGGTGACCTGCATGTCGGTGCGTAGTGGAGGTACGTGGTTCCACGTCTCGGTACCCCACAAGCCCAAGTCAGTTTATTTTAGGTTCCTCTCAAGTTAGTGGGCCACAACTCGATAGGAACCTCGTAAAAGAAATCAGCGCACGCGTGCGTCCACGATCCATGGTCCTCCGGAGATGAGTAGGGGGAGTTACGGCCGTACCCAGCGTCCATACCACTCAGGGGGATAAGACTAGGTGAATCTAGCTGCCAATAACCTCCACGCGAGGACGTAGCATGCAACGATACATGCATTCTTAGCCTGCTCTAGACTAGTCCCGCCCAAACCAACAAAAGAACAGCATAGCCTTCTCGTGGCACTGTACCTCGCGGGGGCAAGTCGAGTTCACCATTAGGAGGTTCACGTCGTAAATGGACCACGGTGAATGACACAAGCTAATTCCGCTGCAAACCCGGGGGTGCTATGGGGTATGACGTGCTGAGCAATTTTTTCGACCGGGAGAGTGGTACATGATGCGGACTAAAAAAGGTGATATTAGTGTGTTGTCGTCCAACAGGTGACGCGATGCAATACAACAGGCGTCCATCCTTGCTATAGCCCTTCTCCCGCCGCTGCGGACGCCGTGTTCGTATCACCAACCAAGAGAGGTATAAGTGACAGCTTAAGGCCGCCCTCGACCGCCGGTTCTGTGGAGCACATGACCGCCGGGAAACACAAAGCGGATTCACAACGAAGGAAAACAGCGGCCCCTTGTGTCAAACTTGCAACACATCAAGGCGAGGAAGGGTGGGGGATGAGGTCGGCACGGGCACCTGCAACTTGTCATAAGCTATGGGTCACTCACATCATCGAACATTCGTCTCATTAACACAGGCGAGAAGCTCCCCCGGAGTTCTCCTCCCTCCTCGCCCGCATGACGGAGGTCATAGGAGTCCATTTGGGGCACGACGCCTGGAGTAACCTCAACGAACACGCGACCAGGCACACATGGTTTACGGAGGTTACTATTTCCAGACTTCAATGGCTGAAATAGGTCACAAACGGCAGTATCCAACGAGATGACACTTACCTGTTTTCGCTGCAGCGATACAGACCTTGCGAAGGGGTTCATGGTATGTGGTGACGTCCAAAACGACGGTCACATGCTCGTCGCGATACACAGGTCGGAACTACTGCTGTAGGCTCGGATACGTTATCTGACCCCGAGGCCGGCAGCACACATTTCAAATGTAAAACGCAACTGCCAGCATGTTCTAAATTCCACGATGACATAGTTCATACATGGCACAGCCTCGATTTGCATGCCAGGTGCAACATGTGTGTTCGCTCAGTGCAACATACTACCTGCAGCGAAACACACGTCCGCACAAACTGTGTCTTCGGTAGAAGTACAGCATAGACAACAGCTGCTGCGTCGAGAACACAGCAGTTCTCAGGGGTAACACATGCACCATTTCGGTGTTCATTCATCTAAATTACACACGCCCACTCTAGTATGGACAACCTTCTGAACGGGTCGTGGCGTGCTATGCACACGTACAAACGTATTTAGTGTCTTGTCAAGGCGGCGAAGTTGAGACAGGGAAGTCGGCAAGTGGTGAGCTGGCTTTGAGGCTGCCCCACGTTGCGCCGGTTGAAGACAACTTTTTTCATCAACTCTTGACGCACAACGGACGGATTTACGAATGGCTTCCTGCGGGAGCTTCTCTGAGAGATGCGCTGTAAGAATATATGAACAATGTTCACCTTTCCCAATGGTCCTGGGGCGGTGTCGCTGCCGGCCCGTATGGCACACGAGATAGCAGGGCTAACAATCTGGTGGGGAGCCAGCAGCTGATCGTTGGCCATGCACTCACCGTGACCTGTTCGCAGCGCGTTCTTCGCAGATTATTCTCCTTGTGATGACTCAAGGGTTCCCTCCAAGTTTCAGCCGTGTTGGTGCTCGAGGGGCGGAGTACTGCTGTGTTGATGAGTGTTGAACCTGGGGCTGATTGCGGTTGCCCCGCGTGTCTGCGAAGACTGGGCTCTGTGTCCAGAATGGACAATCAAGGTGAAAAAGCCATCTTGCTTAACTACTTCGGTTTAGTGGGGGCCCCGTGCAAGGCGCCCTCCAATGTTGATTTTATATAGTCACACTCTTCTCCCTTCTTCCCCTTGCTCCTCGACAAGCTTTTGCTTAGACATGGGTTGTAGTGAAGGGGGGGGTCTTTCTGGCGAGCAGGGCTAGACTCACCCTCAAGGGATGACCGAAACCTTCTTGCTGCTGCGCATATCCGCCGCGAGGCATGCGCGTGGTGGTGTAGTTGGGTCGGCACTGATGGGGTCAGGCGAAAAAATGTAGATGCGCGGGCCTCTGGCCGTCGGCGTAGGCAGCGATGCCCATCTCATTTTTTGTGCGCGGAGGCAGACACCGTCAGAAGGTGGACGGGAACTATGTACACGGCCCTAGGTTGGCTAGAGGGCGCTGCATTGCCTCAGTAACCTGGCTTCGCCATCAAAGGAGGAGGGAGCAGGTGGCGACGAGCTGAACTGGGCTGGTTGACCCCTTCGGCGCGAGAATTTTTATTTTTCAGACCAAGAACCTTGAGTGCAACGAGGGAGAAAGCGAGGAACCGACTGGGAAGGACAGCAACGAGAGCGTGTACGGACGGAGCAGGTCGAGTGGCGTTATGCTCGGGCTGACTACAGCGGCGCCGGACGGAGCAGCGGCACCGGAGCATGCGGGCGACATCGACCCGTGGCGCACGGACAAACATTTATATCTGATCTGTGTTGTCAATTTTTCTCGTTTTTTTCCTGATTTTCGGTGTTGGTTCTATGTGATGACGTCGTCACTGGTTTTGTAGAGAGACCCGTCAGAGATGACGTGGCTAACCCGGGTGCCTTGGTTATGTGCCTGATCGTGGAAGACCCCTTCAATGTGGAACGATTCTTAGCTATTGTCGATATTTTCACTGCGTGCCTAACACAGACGATCGGGAGAGGTTCGGGTGATTGTCCATTGCAACCATGGCTTTGGTTGGTTGTTCTTTTTCACTGTACGTCCGCAGACACATTCTGACAGCACTTCAGACAGCAGCTTTGTGCCCCGCCAGCTTCTTGTTCCATGCCTACCATGGTGTTTTTGTACAGACAGCACTTCAGACAGCAAGTATGCTGTAGTCGGCAATCATTCGTTTTGGTACAGAGTGGGACAAGTAGGGGGTGATGTTGCTGTAGTCGAACGGTGAGACGGACGTGTAGTTCAGTTTTGGTGACGCGTACGGTGCTGCAGGGATTATATATAGGTGTAGTCTAGTAGTACCTCTTCGGGCTCTTGTACACCTTTTTCTTGCTACGTGTGCGTGTTCTTTAGATCCTCAGATGGCTCCAGCACTTTCGTGACCACGGGCCGAGAGTTTTTGCTAGATTTTGGCATTTAGCAACTGGCATACGGTTTAATGTGAAGTCAACAAGTCAACCCTACAGGTGTGTTCTGTGATCTGTGATGCGGTCTTGCTCGATCTTTTCATCCTTGGACAAAAACACAGAAGGCCACCCCCAGCCCGACCTCCCACCATTGCGGGGCTTTGACAAATTGGCCGAATGCAGCAGTCCCGATGCTGGACCATGTGAGCCGTGGCTTGTCGCTGTGTCTATTACTGCTATGTAATCTGCAATGTACAACAGTTGTGATGCTTGATGCCACGTCCCCACAAGGGTGCGGGGCAACACCTGACGCTTCGGCTGAGAACGCGGAGGGATTGATTGCGGCAGAAGGCCCCGCACAAGCGGGACCGTCAACCGCGAAAATGGCCGTAGCTATGTGGAGGATCGGTTTGCGGTTGGCTCATAGTGCCGCGATTGCGCTTCGCAAGCAAGGGGTGACGATCGCTATGTACCTTGAAAGAGAAAATCAAAAGCCGTGACCAGTGACGAATCTTATAATCTAGCCAACAGCCGGAGACGGGCCCCAAACGGGCGCCTGCGACAAAGATCGCGAGCACATTTCATCACCCCCTGCACGCGGCACCTAAACATAGTTCCAGGGAGTAAAGCATGCTCGGCGTGGAGACGATGCGGGTGTTTGGCAGGATTCGTCCTCTTGTCTTGGACTCTCTGGAAAAACAGAAGGCTTTCGATCCTGCGGTTTCGGTACGTGCGCAGGTACTGTAGATGCTATCGACTGGAACACCATGCAGTTTGAACCGTATGCATCGCATCGCATTGGGGGTACCTTGTAGCCGGCTGCCACTATCCTTCTCGCGGGCTGCGTGGAAGCATCCCTTCATCACAGTCGGCCAGCCATTATCTTTTGGTTTTACGCCGGCTGGCGTGTCACATCTTTAGTCATCGAGCAGAATGATGTCTCGAAAGGAGAGTGTTTCGTTGCGTGATGTTTCATCGCATGATGAGGATTGTTTTCTTGGTACGAAGCAAGCAGTGGCATGGGAATCTCCATGTGAATAGCAGTCTCGAGAGGGTGGTGAAAGCAACTTATCATGTTTGCATGTTTGCTTACAACTGCAATTGTCGTCCCGATTGGCATACGTTCAGGTGAACGTGCGCGTGTGCGATTGCCCTGATCCTCCAGCTCGCCGCACCTGGCAAAGGACCTTTGCTAGACACGTTGTGTTTGAGTTCTATTCACGTTTCACCGTCCACTGCACTTGTCTTATCCTTTCAATCGTGCAGGATGGTAGCCCTGAACAACCGACCGGTACCCCGTGTATTGAATCGTGGAACTCCAACGGAACCATTGTTTATTCTCAAGGCGCGCGTCGGGAGTTTCAACTTACAGGGTGCTTTGGAGCGGAACACTCACAGGAGGAGGTAAAACACTCAATGCAGGATTTATGATGAGTTTCTAGAGCCTGCGAAAAGATTCTCACAAGACTGACATTTCCAACAAATGGTATCACAGGATTTGGAAAGCAAGAGTAACCTAAAAGATATGCGGTCCAAGACTTGGTTCTGGCTAACGTCAGGAATTCTTGCCGACTCACATAACCCAAAACGCTGACCCTAATCGTATGAAGCGTGGATCGTTCTCTCGGGTATGCGTTAGTACCTAATTCAACCTCGAGATCATGCTTCGTTTATTTGAAAAAGAAACGAAGTTTTTTCAATTCTCTGCGTAGACTGCATTTCAGCAGACGTGCGCTTTCACCCGCCCGTTCCCTCGCCACAGATATTCAATACTGTGGGAGCAGGCGTTGTGGACGGAATCGTTGATGGATGCAACGGGACGATCCTATGTACTGGTCGGAGAGGTTCAGGTGTGACGAATTCCCCTCCTCTCCCCCTACCCACGTCCCGCTCCGATTTTTGCCCACGGAACGACGTCATGAAAACTACACGGTCAACTCTACGGTCTATGGCGTTGGGCTTCTGTTGCAAAATTCGTCTGCATTCATCGGCACTCCTTGTCAATATGTGTGTGTGCCACTGTAGGTAAAACATACACACTGTGCGGTTCAAGGCCTGCTGGGGGAGAAGAAGGGGGAATTCTGGCTCGAAGCATGACAAGACTGTTTTCAGGCCTTAAGAAGACCCGGGGGCGCCGTGTCAGCGTTCGCGTCTCCTTCTTAAGAATATATTGCGAAACTCTACAGGTAGAGTCCTCTCTCAGGAAGAAACGCAAATTGTGCGGGCTAAGCCGTGTACTCCAGGCTGTTTCTCGATATTTCGGTAGCGTCTTTGCAAGAACACAAAAACCTCTTCTACCGTTGGTCCATACTGTGTCGTCGTGCCACCGTCTACCTCGCTACTAGTTGCCCGAGCTCAAGACTTCACGCTTTGCAAAACGTTTTCCCTCAATTGCAGGACATGTTGGACCGATCCTCCAAAAGAGACATCCTAATCAGGGAGAAATCGAGCGGAGAGACTTTCCTCGAGGGCCTTTCTTCCAGAACCGTTTGCAGCAGGTAGAAAGACAGGAAACGGCAGCACCATCGGTTGGCTTGTCCTAGACATGATGCGGTACCTGGTGCCCTGAAATGTGATAGTCAAGCCCTTCGCTCAGATACGACATTGTAAAGTTCCTTGTGATGCAACTAATAATGACAAATGTTGCCTTGCTCGTTGCGCAGCGCGGAAGCTATATCTATCTTCGAAAGAGCCCAATTTGACGAGGGGTCAAGCCGTGGCCACACTATCGCGCTCGTGTACTTGGAACAGCGTCGCCCCGAAGAGGCGCGCAGCAAAGGAGGGGACGGGTTAACCCAGGTACCGGAAGTATTTTCGGTATTGTCTCTGTATGAGGGTACTAATTTCCTGTAGGATCTCCTCGGCTCTGACGACCACTCCTTCGAACGTTTGGTGAACCTCCTTCTGCTTTCGTCGATCCTCAAAACGACCAGAGCTGTTTGATGTTGGCAGACCTCGCTGCAAGCGAGAGCGCTAAGCGAACGGAGGCCAGATATCAACGTCTGGAGGAATGCAAGTTCGTCAACCTAGGCTTGTCTGCTCTGGGGAACTGCGTGGCTGCTCTGGCGAAGGTGGACTCTCGTGCAACTAAGAAGAAGGAGTCAATTGAGTTTCCTGTGCGTGGATACTGTACCCATTTCTACCGCGGACGTTCCCTCAAAGAGTTGAGGCTTCTTGTCATGCCTGACACTTCACGTGATCCTCCTATGCACGAGTCTCACAATCACGTTTGTTTTCTGCCCTTGTCCTCGCCGTTTCCTTCTCAGGGGCAGGCACATGTCCCGTTTCGAGACAGCAAGCTGACGAGATTGCTACAGCAAACCTTAGCAGGCAACTCCAAGACGGCGGTGATTGTCGGAATTATTCCTGAGAGGTATGGCGTATGGGGTAGATATACCGCGGTTGAGCACCCCGCTCCGAAACATTTGTCGGCGTCGAATGGTTGTCATAACCCTTTTCAATTTCTTGACGTATGTGAACTTCGCCAACCGCCTCTAGGGACGAGCGTGGCGAAACCTTGGCGACTCTCATATTCGCTCAGAGAGCAATGTCCGTGATGACGGAAGCCCGCGCGAACGTTGTCCCGGACCTTGAAGCACGATGCCAAGACTTGCAACAACAGTATGACAACCAGAGCGACAAGTTGACCCAGATGACTCTCATGAAAGCGTCCGCAGAAGAGCGCTTGGAAGTAGCACATGACCAACTGGCACAGCTCCAAGCAGAGAAGAATGCCACCGATGTCCGGCTTCAGACTATGGTGGAGGCGTACGAGATGCTCACGGTAATTTTCTTCGTGCAAGGGCGTCTGTATTCTCTTGGTTATCCGCTGCATGGTATGCTCCCAGAACTCGAGTCGACATGGATCTTTAAACCGCGTGGACGTTGGGACTATATTGCACTCGACTACCTGGGCTAGATCAGTACACACGCGAGAAGACACTAGAAGCGGTGATGCACCGCCTGGAGACGGTCTCCCTGGAGCCGATATCACCTTGAGGGCCGCGGGGAGATTTGCTGTTTCTCTGAAGATGTGTCGTCAGCAATCACACCTGTCGCGTATGCGGTGAAATACCCCCAGCAACCCACCAATCTTTCCGCAGACACTGTTCGACTTTGAAAATCCTGAACAGTAACAGACAATGGCTTTGGAAAATGAAGTTTGAAATGTCGGTTTGTTTTTGTGCTATCGTACAGGAGCCAAGCAGCGAGGATGCGGTATCCACGACCGACACAACTCAGCAGCAAGAGTGGAAAGAAAGAGCTCGTAACATGAAAGCTGAATGTGATCGGTGAGTGCGAACAACAGGATCGCGGACGCACTGGAAACTTGGAGTAGGTGGAGTAGGTCAGTCGGAAACTTTACCCTGGCATGTGGCAAACAACTCGATCGACCTACATCCGTGCGTAACATCGACGTCCGTTCGCTCGTCATGTCGGTGTCCGGATGAAGGGACATGAAGAGCTTGAAACAAGGATACGAGGAGCGTGTTCAGGCATACAAAGCAGAGGCCGCCAGGGCTGCTGCGCAATGCTGCTCGAGCGAGTACGAGCTGACAAAGGAAAAGGAGGCCCATTTACTAGTCGCCAGGTAGATCCGTGGGAACCTACGAGCGCTTCGTTGCCGCACAACATGACGTAGTCTGGCCAATACAAGTGCCAGTTACCGCCAACGGAAGAAGAGGAAGCGTATCCCCGGCGCTCATGCAAGGAAACCGTTGCGCTGTTTATGCCATAGCAGGGATCTGCGCGTTTGCCAGTCTGAAGGACGAAGGAAGGAGAGGGAGACGAACTGCCGCATCAGGTACGCTGTTGGTTTCCTCGGGGTGGGCTTGGGGCCGGTGTCGTTTAGATACGAGATAGCAAGTGTAGAGTGTGGCTTTCCTGAATAAATATTGCTTACAAGCTTCGAGTGTTTGGCGCGTGAACTCGGTTGGGAAAGAAGTGTGGATTCTTTGAGTGCGCATGACTGACGACAACCGTGATACCCGTACACTTTGTCTTTGGCAGTGTACTGTTGAAAGAACTCGCCGACAGGGATGCCGTTGTCGAAGACATGGAGGCACGGGTGAGCAAACACCTTACGCCGCCGAAAGTGTCAATGCTTGAAGTTAAAGGCGTCAAATCGTCAGGAACCTTCGAAATAGTAATATCTGGCTGTTCGTTTGAAAAAAGTGGGCTTGAACAACTTTTATTGCCGGTTGTGGGCGTAGAGATCACCATATTTTTGAGATATTCGGCGATTATGCGAATAGGAGAGGCAAGGCAAGAAACCATCCACAGCTCTGTAAGCGCAGACTGTGAAAAGCGGTTGTTTTCCCATCCAGATCCGGGTGCTCGAGAATCAAGCAGTACAGCAAAAAGCCGTGCTGGCCAAAGAGTACGTGTCGCGCCACCAGGTGAACGAGATGGAAAAACTGTTTGGGACAGCGGTCGACGACCTGAGCAACCGACTGAAGGACGTGGAGAAGCGGAAGACAGATGTTCAGCGGCAGGTGAATAATTGGCATCTCGACTCCGAACGGGCTCTTTACTTGTTTAACCACCGCCGTAGTACCATGTGAAACCTGCATCATCTAGTATTGTTCGAATGCCGTGGGCTTTATATGGCCAAGGAGTGATTCCAATGCCACATTCAGCTCCTACATTGTCCGCCTAGCCCATTTCATTGAACGTGCTGACCACGGCGTGGAAAATTGCACATACGTGCTTCGAGGAGCGCTATTCTTCGGAGACACAACTTCGTCTTCCTGCTGATCAAACTCACCAACGGGAGCGATTCCTGTCCTCACACACCAGGGCAACGCAATGGCGCGCGTGGAGGCTGTTGGGCTTGGGCGAGACCTTAACGGCGTTCGTGCTCCAGGAAGGAGGCGTTCCCAAGCTGGAGCAGCGACCTTCTGCTAGCCGACGTGCAAGCGTGCCCGGTCGCGCAGCTTTGCAGTGTATCGGGCGTAGCCACTTGCTATCGATTTCAAGGTCCTCTAACAATCTGAAGCGGCGAAGTAACTGTGTCCCCATTCTTCTTCACCTGTTTTGCTCGCGAAGAATGGCATCGAAATTTCCACCTTCGAACTCCTCGACAAGGGGGGTGCCGGGGTACGCGGGGCGAGGACTCATAGGTTGGCATGCCTTAGCGGTTGAACCATTGACCACGCGTCCTCGAGGGGACGGAACACTGTTATTCCCACAGGACCGATCAACGATCGCCAATCGTTCCTTCCTGCTTGACGGTGGCTCAAATGTCAACCCTATCCACTCGATCCAAAAGACATTACCTCTAGTATTTTCGCCGGGGTGCACGGGGGCGCTGTCATCATGTGCGGGTGTTATTCAGATGAGAGGGGTAAGAGGGCAATGGCAGGGAGAATTGGGGAACGATACCGCAGGTTCCACAGCGAAATTGTGCCGCGTCCATTTTATGCGTGGTGGGTGGAAAGCGCTACCAGGCGCAAGCGTGGAAGAAGCACCTAGTTCGCCGATGGATGGGGGTACCGGGCAACCTAGAGCTTGGATTTGATGTCACTTTTCTATGCACAACAAAAACCTTCTCGTGCCCTGGTTAATCCCAAAGTTGTTGCCGATTAAACATGTAGAATCCCTATCAAATGGTCGAATATCGGGACCAATTGACACTTGAAAGGATTATTTCAACAAGAGACGGCTTAGGTGGGGAGCACGTTTATATGGACAAACATCTAATCTGTCCATCGTGTGCAAATTGAGAACCGTACGTAACCCTCGGCATTCTGTAGATATGAGCAACTCCCGAAATCGTACGAGAGCGAGTCAGGTGAGATGAACACAAACATGAGCGACATGACGACTGACTTTGTTTGGTGCTTCCACGCGCCAAATAAATATATAAAACCGTCGGTCTGCTCTCTGTCTGCCTGTGTACAGATAGATGCAGATCATATCACCCGAAGTTATATACTCGAAGGATTCATTCCGTCGCACTACTTGCAACTAGAGCAGGCGGAGATTTATTTTTTGTTTTTTTCTTCTTGCGCACGCCGCACACCTATGTTGTTGTGTGAGACTGAATGCGACGGCCTTGGGCTGCCCCCAACCGCCAAAATGGTTGACCAATCAAACATGTACTCTCACACGAGAGCATTGGTCGTGATCGGATGTTAATGTGTGTGGTGTGGAATTGTAGACAAACATGCGGTCTCTTGAGCAGCAGCAACTAACTGTAGCCGCTGTACAGCACACACATCTTTTGTGGCGTGGGTACGCTGCAGACCAGTGTGGGCCTTAGGTCAAGCACGCCTCACATATGTTACAGTTCGGACGTCAGGTAGCGCGTTGGCGAGTTCATGAGTATGACGCTTGGTCCATTCGTGGGACATGCATGACAGCCGCGTGTGCACAGCAGCACCGAAGCACAGGAGGAACACAGAATTGGCAGCACAGAGAACTGCTGTGTTGCATCCGCAATGCAAACAGCAGCCATCACCATCAACACGTCGTGTGTGTATGGGTTTTGCATGTGGTCACCACACGATTCCAGGATGTCTGCCGAAGAAGGCCTCGAACGGCGACATCCAGCCCTGATTGGCCTTCGTCGCGGAGCGGTTGAAACAACCGGATGCCCAGAGCGCCGACGAGAGCCACAGGCGTTGTCCGTTGGCGCCGATGTTGGGGACGGAGGCGAGGTCGACGTGGGCCATGGAGAGGATGTGGCGTCGCGCGGCGTGGCCCCCCTTCATCGCACGCCAGATGGCGCTCTCGGCGACGGCGTTTTGTTTGGGGGTGTCGGGCGCGGTGTACTCACGCCGGATGCCGGCGGCGTCGCAGAAGTCGATGAAAACGGCGCCGGTGAACTCGCCGCCGTTTAGGCCTGTCCTCCATCGGCCGTTTTATTTTCGATTTAGATACACANGAGCGCCGACGAGAGCCACAGGCGTTGTCCGTTGGCGCCGATGTTGGGGACGGAGGCGAGGTCGACGTGGGCCATGGAGAGGATGTGGCGTCGCGCGGCGTGGCCCCCCTTCATCGCACGCCAGATGGCGCTCTCGGCGACGGCGTTTTGTTTGGGGGTGTTCGGCGCGGTGTACTCGCGCCGGATGCCGGCGGCGTCGCAGAACTCGATGAAAGCGGCGCCGGTGAACTCGCCGCCGTTGTCCATGCGAAAACATCCCGGAGTGCCCATGTTGTTCATGTCGGCCAAGAAGCGCTGCACGTACTTCAGGGTGTCGCTCTTCGCCCGCATCCCGTACGCCCGTTGCCACCGCGATGCGCTGTCCACGAACATGATCAGGTACCGGGAGCCGTCCATCGCCTCGGTGAACGGGCCCGTGAGATCGATGTGGACCTTGCCGAACGGCACCGCTGCGCGTGTCCCACGCCGCGGCACCGGGGCCCTCCTCCCTTTCGCCTCCACACAGCCCACACATGGCTGCAGCTCCCCGACCAGCCGAACACCCTGCTGCTTGGCAGTCTCACGCATCAAAAATTCGTTCACGTGGCCGGTGGAAGCGTGGAACAGATTAATATCGATGGTGGGCGTGGATTTTCCTACCGAAAAGGGGGAAGCACCGGGGGCGATAATCGCCAACGCGTGGGAAAGAGACGGAGGGGCTGCGACCTGCTGCTCATTGCACTCGGAAAGAAAACCTCTCAACACCTCCAAATTATCATGCTGCACAGTGAAAGCCAGGGGAGGGGGGGCTCCGCAGACTCAGAGAATTCAAGCGCATCCGGAAAAACATCACCCGGGGGGACCGTATCTTTGCCATCCATCAACCCAACATCCAGAAACATGCTCATGTCCATGATNCTACGTCAGAGTATTCAAAGGAAAGCCTACCATCGAATAGGTGGACGCCGGTCTCGTCTAGAACGATACGCTGCCTACGCTGCGTGTGGTGCAGCGAAAAAAGATTGAAGGTGATTCCAGGCACAACGTACACGTCCGACATCTGCACGCAAAAATCACGCTCTCCTCCCTGGTCTTGCATGTGGAAGGCCATGTTGACCGTCCCCAAACATTGTACGCGCAAATAAGCACCGTTGCCAACCTGGATGTACTCCTTGCCTGTCGGCACTGGCCTCAAGTCAAACATATGATGACTATTGCTCACAAAAGTGTTCGTCGCACCGCTGTCGGCCCAAAATTTCTCCCTGCCAAAGTGGGAAAGCGGGTTCTGCACAGACAAAGCAAACCCATCACCACTCTCACGCTCGGTACTCGCTACAACACCACGGAACGATCTCGCTTGCAGACACGAAACGTGACATAAGAAGTGAAGGGAGCCCGGGGCCGGGGTCGGTGCTGCTGCTCCGGGAGGAGATGAGTGGGGCGGGGCATGAGTCGAGNTACCACTCTCACGCTCGGTACTCGCTACAACACCACTCGGAACAATCTCGCCTGCAGACACGAAACGTGCCATCAAGAAGTGGAGGGAGCCCGGGGCCGGTGCTGCTGCTCCGGGAGGAGAGGAGTGGGGCGGGGCATGAGTCGAGTGCTGCTGCTGCTGGAACGTCGGCGGAGGCGGAGGCTGTGGCGGCGGCTGCTGCTGCTCGTAGTAAGGCGTCGGTGGCGGGTAGTACGGCTGCTGCTGCTGGGTGTAGTCAGGCGGAGGCTGCTGGTACTGTAGCTGCGGCTGCTCCCAACCCCCATACTCGCTACTATTTGCGGGCCCCCCGTAGGGCGGTGCACCGTGTTCGTGGTGCATCACGTTTGCATGCCCGTGCGAGGGTCGCCATTGCTGCTGCTGCGGGCGAGGGGGGACAGAGTTTCCATACCTTTGCTGCGCTCCGCGTCCGCCATGAGGTCCGTGCTGGGGTCCACCACCCCAGCCCCCCCCACCGCGGCCGCCTTGTTGCTGCTGCTGCTGCTGCTGCTGCTGTTGAGGACGAGGAAGGTAGTACTGCTGTTGCTGAGGCTGCTGCGGCGGCTGTTGCTGTTGCGATGGCTGCTGCCGCCGCTGCTGATGCTGCTGCCTTCGCTCTTTCTTCCGCTGCTGTTGACAGCACTCCGCGTTGGTGTGGGTTCCATACAGATGAAGGTGACAGTGCCGTTCTCCTCTGGTCTCGTCGCTCCTGCTCCGNCTAGCCCCCCCCACCGCGGCCGCCTTGTTGCTGCTGCTGCTGCTGCTGCTGCTGTTGAGGACGAGGAAGGTAGTACTGCTGTTGCTGAGGCTGCTGCGGCGGCTGTTGCTGTTGCGATGGCTGCTGCCGCCGCTGCTGATGCTGCTGCCTTCGCTCTTTCTTCCGCTGCNTGTTGCTGAGGCTGCTGCGGATGCTGTTGTTGCTGCGGCGGCTGTTGCTGTTGCGATGATTGCTGCCGCCGCTGCTGGTTCCGCTGCTTTCGCTCCTTATCCCGCTGCTGTTGGTAGCACTCCGCGTTGGTGTGGTTTGACCGCGGATGAACGTGGCAACGCCTGTCTCTTCTGGTCTCGTCGCTCCTGCTCCGACCGTCGCCTTTGCCGTCCTGTCCGTCGCCGTTCCCACTCGACCCATTTGGGACACGTCCGTCGCCCCGGGGCGCACCGGAGGCGACGAAGGCATGCCTCACGCCACTCTTTTGTTCCTCCTCCCGTGCGCGCACCAGGTCCGTGTGGGCCTCCTTCACGGAATCCTCTATCTGCTCGAAAGTCAAATCAGGGGTGCGGTCCAACAGTTTCTTCTCTGATTTGTAGTCGGATGACAGGGCGGACACCAAGTGGTCGTTGGGTTCGTTGTCGGGATACACTGTCCCGTGCGACGCTAGCCTACTCCGTAAAATACAGAACCTCCCGAAGTATTCTCGTGGGATTTCACCCTCATGCATCGCGAAGCTATGATACTCCTTCACGAGCCTCTTTTTCTCTGCTTTCGCATGGGGCTCGTAATACTTGAGGAAAATCCTTTAAATCCTCCATCCCCCACTCGGGCTTCCGTCTGACACGATTTCCGACAAGATCGGCATGTATGAGATTGACGTGATGAGTAATTCCACGCCACTACAGCCTTAGCTACCTTCTGATCTCCATACTCAGTCTTCAGGTCTACCATGCTGATTCCTTGCCTCCCTACTGGGATGTCCTGGTCGCTCTTACTACCTCGTGAACCTCCTCCTGTGCAAACCGTGCTACCATGCTCGATCTGAAAATCAAAAGCTGCCTATTGTCCCCCTGCTTAAACACACCATCCCAAGGCTCAATTCGTCTACTCTCAGTCATTCAGAGTGTTGCAGGATGAGGTATTGCACCGATGTCCCCTCATGAGGTCTGGAGGCGACCGGCCATGGCAGTCGCAATCGCGTTGGCCAGCTCGTCTGCGGAGGGGTTGGGCGATGGGCCCCCAGTTTCCTCTTGCTGGTGTGGCACCCTTCCTCGTTCCCGCTCCGGAGACCTTCTGTGCTCTTCTGCTCGGCTCGATGCCGCACCTCCATCCCGGCCATCTTCTTGGCCAGTTTCTCCTCCATCATCTGCTCCATCTGAGCTGCTACTCTCTCGTTGACCAGTTCTTCGATCCTGGCGTCCTCCGCTCCTTGGCGGGCCACCGCTGCTTGGCGGGCTTCATCTTCGCGCCTGGTAGCCATCTTGACCCTGTTCTCGATCGCCGCAAAGAAAGCGATAGTCTACTCCTAAACCAAGCTCGACCGCGAATCTCGTAGACGACGTGTCATACGCTAGCGTGATAGATAATTCGGGTGGCTCAGTTGTGTGTGATGGGAGTGA